CTACCTAAACCGAACGCAGAATACACTCCAAAACTAAATGAATATGAAAAAAAAAATAGATATAAGAAAATGAAAGTTATTTGAAATGACTGTTCAGAAACAGTATTTGGTCAACCTTCTTGGGCTCCAATCTATTGCGGCGTTGGTTGCATAAAAGTCCAGCCTTAGAGAAAAGTCGTTCCGAAGGAACGGAAGTGGCTGGAATGCATAAATACTTTAAAGCAATTTTATAAAGGCCGCTGTTGGTGATTTTGCGAAGTTCCCAAAATGTAAGTGGATTGGCTTTTCTATCCAAATAGGGTAGCTCTACGTACTGTTTCACCTTGATGATTGCTGATGTGGTGGGGTTTTCTATGCTCGAAAATTCCAATACCTTTTTATCTAGATGCTCCCATAAATTCTCGCCAGTCCCCTCTGAAGTTATCTGCTGGGAATTTGAAGATGAAGTTGTACGTGTTTCGAGACGTGAGGTAGATGACAGTAGAGATCTATTAGGTACATGGAATTGAGCTTGATATTCCTGTGTTTCCAACATCATCAACTCGTCAATAACAAATTTTTGAGCATTATCTGCATTTTTCTCGACGCCAAAACCAGCTTTTTTAAATCTTGGATCCATGAATGTTGCTTCAGCAAGGGTTTTGTTGATCTCATGACCGCCAAATCTTCTATCGAAAACATCCAGTAATTTTATGTTTAACCTGCTGGCGACTTCGGAATTGGAACTGCAACTTCTTAGTGACGTTTGTACTCTGCGAATAAGAGGTATGATGCAGGATAACGTTGGATATTGCTCGTCAGATATAATACCCGTCATTTATTCCTCAGGTTTTAAAACACAAAGGCACTCGTGCACCTCGATCCATTCGTCAGCGTTAAGGTTATCCGGACAGCCAGGTAATGAAGAAATTGCAGCAGAAAGAGGTATCTTGACCTTATCCAGACGTTCGAGCATATAATACACTGAATTCCATCTTGTCAGGACATCTTGCTTTAGTTTTAAGGGTTCCAGCTGCATTTGTTCTTGAACCTGTTTTAATTTATATGCAGCATTATTGCTTCTTTTGAAATAGGCTACTATTGCTCGGCACTTTTCAATCAATTGAATTAATAGTTTGTTGTTTTTGATGGTATCCTGAACCACCAAGTTCAATGTATGAGCTACACAACAGTGGTGACATTTTTGCAGAATATCAATAACAGCTTCTTTTATATTAACCGCATTGTCAGTTGTGACGCAAATGATTCATTCGGTTTCCAATATATCTTTCATTTCTCGAGCTAAATTTTCTGACGTATGGGCATCCTTCACTTCCCTGGTGGATAACGTTAAAGTTTTAGACTTGCCATCGTAAATGAAATGAATTGTCAGGGTCATGTAGCTTTTGCTGCTCTCGGAGGTCCACAAGTCTGTTGTCAAAGCAATGTAATCTGTTACTTTAAGCATCTCTTGCGTAACCTTTCTTGCCAAAGAATATTGCTCCGGAATTAATTTTTCCGAAAGAATCTTTCGCGAAGGTAGATCATATTAGGGTTAAGCGCCCGAGTATACTCTTGAAAACCTGTATTCTCAACGACTTGAAGCGGCTGAAAATCAACACACACCATTCTCAATAATGCTTTATCCACATTTTTAAAGTTCAGAGCTTGCTTCGACGGAAACGTCATCTGAAGTTGCCGTTTACGTGGTGGTGGTGCTGGTGGTGTCTCACCGTCTGTCAACTGGGATAGATTGGAGTTCTTGTCCTCGTGGACTGGTGTTCCATCGCCAGAACCAGAAGATACACTTAATAAATCGGAATCACTTTCAGCAGAGGAGATAATTGAAGAATTGTCAATCTCAGTCGAGTAAATAATAGGATGAGATTTTTTTAGGTGCTTTAACAAATTAGTTGTGTTTTTGAAATCTTTAAACACAGAGTCACAGTTTTTGCACTTTATTTTATTGTCGTCCACTTTCTCAAAACACTTCCACACACCTGAGGTTTTTTTCGGCGCCATTCTATAGTAAATTAAATTACAGTCAAATCACAGTTATTATCAATAAACAATTAAATAAAGTCACTCTGAAATACTCAGTACTCACAAAAACTGCTAACACAAATCAAAGAAATCAAAATAAAAAGTTGCAGGTTCAAACTTGCCCGCCGCGCCACTTCATTGCTTAAGTAAACTAGTTACGAGTACGAAGGAGTTGACCGAACTCGAATACTAAACTCTCTAGTCAGTTGGACTCGCATGAATAGAATTGAGTCTGCGAGTACGAATCGATTCTCTCTGATTCGAGTCCGGCGTACTCGAATCAAATTAAAGTGGTATTCGAGTAGGCGAGTACAAAGCAGGAATCGAGTCTGACTCGAGTCAAACCGTACTCGGCACATCGCTGGTTTGAAGCATTTATGCTGCGGACAAAAGCACAAGAATGAGAATTTTATAATCGATTTCAATGAATGCAAAACTTGGTCAATGGTTAACGTTATTTTTAAAGTAGAAAAAGTTTTTTTTACATAATTACACTTTGGAGTGTAATATTCCGCGCTGTATGAGATTAATAAGTGTGTTTAGAGGCATTTCCGTAATAATAAGCGCATGCGCCAGTTATTTGATACGTCTTTTTTAACAAATAAAATGCACTGACATTCCAGATGGCGGCTGGCAGTTCGTGAATTTGACAGATTTCGCTTTTAAAATGACATTTTTCTAACGATATTCTTTCAAAATATCCCTACATGGCAACCAATTTTCGTCGGAAAAACAGGTTGCAGGTGTGCAAATTGTTGCATGAAAAATTTGGCCGATAGTGCAGGTTATGGTATGAAATATGTGCACATGCGAGGAACATCATCCCATCATGGGCAAAAAATATCATAATCGCCTGAAATTTCACAATTTTACCCTACTTTACGCTGTTATCTAGTGGCTTTATGCGTTGATAAGGCCGAAATAATGAATTACTTAGTACGAACACTGAACACTAACGTTTTTGCTTGATGGTTCTGAGTTTAGCTGAACAGTGGAGTCCAGCGATAGAGGGGTTTCATTTGATGACTTTCACTTCTTAATACATAAATTCACTGATCCTGTTGAAACAGTTATTATTTTTTTATTTGAATTATCCGGTTTGATAACATTTCGTAATTTTGCCTCTGTCGGAAGGCGGTTTAAATTCTTCTCAACAAGTTATAATTCTATCAAGAGCCACAAAGGGGGAACAGGGAAACTATCCGCTTAATCGCTTAAAATAAATTCGCAACTAGTTTGTGCAATGGTGTAACTTGGGCAGTGTCTTATTGACGTATGCGCGTTCCAATTACTTGCCTACCGTAAGTGCAAAGTTTACCTCGTAGTCATAAGCAATTTAAACGTGTTTACGGAGTTCGAAATGGAAGCTGCCCTTTATTGCCTTCACCAAAACGTTTTGTGTCAGTTTGGGTCCACCCCCGTCATTTTAATTATTGTACGTTTAGTAGATAAATAAAATTAATGATAACAAATTTTTGTGATTGTTATGTGATAGTCAATGGATTCAATCCTATCGCAATTACCTACTAAAGCATACTATAAAGACAGTTGTCCGGGATCGCAAGGGTCGAGTTTATTGGTGAGATAGAAAGAATTGTTCTGATTCTACTTATTATCTCTCCCTCTCTTTCCAAACTATAATTGGCTTGATTAAATTTATCTAAAATTTTTATTTTGAGGAACTTGATTGAGCGAGATCCATGCAAATATAAAGAAATATTTTTGATGGGTTTTTAGCTACTGGGCGGTAAAGTTCTGAGAAAGTAGTGTTTTGATCATAATATTAGACATTTTTAATGATAACGACAATACCAAAGCTGCATTTTTTCGAAAAAATATTTTTTAAAGCTTTTGTATTACATTAATAATAACAAATTTTTATGAGTGTTATGTGATAGTCAATGGATTCAATGCTATCGCAATTACCTATTAAAGAATACTATAAAGACAGTTTATAAATTGTCCGGGACCGCAAGGGTCGAGTTTGTTGGTGAGATAGAAAGAATTGTTCTGACTGTACTTATTCTCTCTCCCTCTAAAATATAATTGGCTTGATTAAATTTTTCTAAAATTTTTATTTTGAGTAACTTTATTGTGCAAGATCCATGCAAATATAAAGAAATATTTTTGGTGGTTTTCTAGCTACTGGGCGGTAAAGTTCTGAGAAAAAAGTATTTTTATCATAATATTAGACATTTTTAAAGATAACGACCATACCAATATAAAGGTGCATTTTTTCGTAAAAAATATTTTTTAAAGCTGCATGAGTTAAGGGTTTCGCACTGAAGGTTTTCATTCATTCATTTCATTGGGTCATCGGAAACTTAAACCTACTTTCGAATTTGGAGTAAATTTGTTTTCCGTGCAACACGTTTTCGGTTAAAAAAATTACTTACATTCAAAACACTGGTGTTTATTTATGTATTACTGTTATATATACTGTGGTGTTTAGTTATATATTACTGGTCGAAACAATTTCCTATAAAATTTTAAATTGATATATTTTGTGTACTTTAATTAAACTTTCAGTTTAACGTTACTTATTCTAATTAGTTATTTGATTAACAAAAATATTGATAGTAAATGGAAAATATTTGTTAGAATAAAATAGAAAGTAAATACGTCTTCATTCGTCAAAGTTTAGTGTTACGTTTATGACGATTTTGATCAAATATCAAATGTGATTCAACCGCTAAATAATTAATACTAATAAATTGTAGTCCGGATGTCACGCGAACAAACGATTTTTAACTGTTTCTATTGCGAACACGCGACCACATTTTTGTGCTACAAATAGCAAACAAATAATTTCATTGAAATATAACGCATTAACATTACAGCGAAAATGATTTATCAATGTTTTGTCGGGTAATTTGATTATTGTTGTTACGATTTTTGTAATTTTGGTTGGTTTAATTTATTCCGCGATCGGCAAGAGGTTGAGCGATTTGATGAATAGTATGGACTGTTTTATTATTTCAGATCTTGGTTCAACGCTGGGTTTGTAAATGGGTGTCTTAATTATCATTTTTTGGCAAATTTTTTGTCAGTTTCCCTGTTACCAAAATTTCTCCATATTTATTCAATATATTTTTTTTAAATATGTCAGACGATGAGGCCTGACCTCTTGTTTTTTGAACCATGGAAAATATGATTCCAAATCTAAGTGGAGTGGCGTATCAAATGACGCCATTTTTTGAATGAAATATCGCCAGAAAGATAACTTTATTATTTTAAAATATAAAGGTGTGATTTTGTTAGATATTTCGAGGCATCAATTTTTAAAATAAATTTGGTAATTACGAATTCCATCCTTCATTGATTTACCTAAATTACTTTAAATGGTAATAGTTTATAAATAAAAATTTTGTGACTTCAGAACGACATAAACAAGTAGAAAAAAAGGTTTTTAGAGAGGGAGAGTGTCCTAGACATTTTAAAATACCACTAACCAAATCTTTATTCAAAGGCGAAAATTAAAACCTGAAACAATATTCATAATGTTTTATAATTTAGACATTAGGAAAACATTTTATTAAAAGATAATTCGTAATAAAATCGCGAGTTTCTTGGAAATGTACAAATATCTCTCAAGAAACCAGTTTTGATCCAAAAGAAACAAAAATGTACAGGGTATCATTATAAATTTCACAGAAAGAATCTATCTAAGAGTAAGCTATCAGTGTATAGATTCGTAGATATCGCAAAGGCCTTCTGGCACTGCTGAACATACAGAAATCTTGAATGTGTTGGGGGATTCTGGGACAACCACTATACTGTAGAACTAATGACGAACTCTTGCGAATAGGAAACAGCATGTGCATTAAGGCCATCGGAAACTATAAAATATTAATATAAATCTTCACCGGTTTTGATTGCATAATGGTAATAAGAACCATTTAGCTACCTTTACTGCATCCAAAGTTTTCTGTCGATATAATCTATTTAATGAGATTGTAATTGGTGGCGCGCCGAGCAGTTTATGATGAACGACGGACACTCTAAAAACACGTTTTGTTACTGATAATTTCGTATCATCAGGCTCACGTATGAATAAGATGCCTTGCATATCTAGAAAGGAAATATATAATTTAGTATTCGTGAAGCTAGTTAACAAGCGCATAAAAATATTAAAAATTCCAACTGAAATACAAAGGTCAATATTATCTGGATTTCGGAGATTTTAGGAACTTTTCTTAGGTTCACTCCAGTACGCAGAAGATTTATGCGACTGCATGGACACTATTAAATTGGACTTATTCTATTCCTGTGTTTATGCTTTATGCCTGGGTTTGTAGTTGCATGAAACTCTTTGCAGTTCTAATATATTGTGAATAAATTCTTCAAATTTTTGTTGTCGGTTAAGTAAATTGTCAACCAGATCGTAGAAATAAAGAAGAAAAAACCTACCGCTAATGCAGACCCTAGAGTCATAGGTTGGAACGGCCCAATCGTTAATACCAGAGGCCGCTGACATCGAATTATGACGGTTAATAATAATTTTTGAATATATTTGTTTTGATCATACCATGGACTTTCGTACAGGGCGTCCGTAAGCATAATGCTCTAAAAAAAATCTTCCATAATGGAATATATGGCGATATTAACTTACCTGTATTATCACTTCATTGGAAATAAGCCCCATAGTGAACACTTGAACTACCAGCAAACAAAGGTAGAATGCAGGCCTAAACATCAAATTATTGTGTTCTTCCTAAAAAAGATGTACCGTGCGTTCAATTTATCATGACACAATTTAATAGGCTGCAATTTTTTTGTTTTTAGAGATATCGAGGTAAACAAAAAATCAGAATGTAAGGTTAGTAGTCAAGTTTTTTTTGCCGAGTGACGTATAAAACAAAATACTATCAATTTTCTGAGATATAAGCTTACGTCATATATTTTTTTAAATGTAACACCTTTTATATTATGTATGTGTTTTTCTGACGAATCGGCAAAAATAGGAAATTTTTATCTAATTTTAAAGAGTGCTTTGATTGACTGCAACAACAATAAAAAACAAAAAATGACAAGACACACTAAAGTAAAAAATACTGCTGTATGTGACCACCATTTTCCCGAACACATTTCTCATACACTTTAATTGTATGATGTGTTGCATTTAGTAACGTTTCCGGATGTCTCTTAACTGATTGATTGCCTCTGAAATCCTTTGCCGAAGGTCCACGACATTACAAGGAGTTCTGTGCACGTGATTTTTTATGTGTCTCCAAAAGAAAAAATCCATTAAAGTTAAATCGGGATGTTGACTGGCCAATCCATAGTTCCGCTGGTCCCTATCCAACGTCTGGGATATTCCTTGTTATGACAATTTTTAACTTGCACAACATTGTGAGGAGTGGCAGGAGGGTAAATCTTCTATATATTGTTCTATTTGGTGCTCTAAAAGTTGCAATGATCTCCAGTTAACTGGCCCAAAATAAGCCCACCTATGACACCATACGATACATTAATTGATTGGTACCTCTAAGTTTTTGTTTCGTGCATTTGTCTAGGATTATTTGAAGACCAATATCGTGTATTTTGTCTATTCCAACCCTTTCCTGTAGTGAACGAATTTTCATCAGTTCATAACATGTTTTTCAAAAAATTGTTATTCTCATTATGTCTATTTAAAAAATCCAAACAAAACTGCATCCTCCTTTGACATTGTTCTGCACTTAATTTTACGAAATTTCAAAACTGAGTGGACTGATCTCCGCAAAATACCTGTCTCTTTATATACTCTAGAGGAAACTGGATATCGAATCCCAATATGTTTGCCTTATTTTCTTCATTTAAAAGATTATGATTCCGCCATATCCTTTCAGAATTTAATATTTTACCGTTTTCTGCAAATTTCTTTGCAAGCCTTGGCAATATCAGTTTTGAAGCAGCTCGGCGCTCTGGATAAAGTCTAATATACTGACGACGAACTGTGGTTGCACTTTTATTATTCAGAAAGTATACTTAAAGCATATCACTCCTTTCACGGATCCTAAATTAGCGAAAAAGCATTTTAACAATAATGACTTGGACAATAATTCAACCATCAACATTGTTTACTAGCATGTCAAACAGAAACATATTTTTTATATGTCGGTCAGGGCATTCTTTGAAACTATATAAAAATGTCCAATTTTTGCCGATTTGTCAAAAACAAGTGGACTTAAATGTAAAATGTGTTACATCATTGTAATCGAAATAAGGCATTCTAGTAGATACATACATAATATACAGAGTGTTCTATTTAAAAAAATATGATATTTGTATGTCAGAAAATTGATAATGTTTTTATACGTCACACACATATATGAAAAAAACTTGGCTATTAACCATACATTTTTTTTGTTTACCTTGATATCTCTAAAAACAAAAAAGTTACAGCCACTTAAAATGTTATCAACATAAATTGAATGCACGGTACGTGGTGTTTTACAACACTGTATCGGATGTGTAATGGATTTGCTTTTGCTTTCGTCTTAGACGAAAAGATGAGATTTCCGATGATAGAGGGCACCAAAATTAAAATTATTATTTGAGGTGTATTTCGTTTCTTTGACAAACCAAAGCCATGGTATTTCAAGTGGGTTAAGTTTGTGATATATAATATTCATTTATTTTCGGCACGGTTAAGACTGTTTCAAACCGCCATTTTAATAAATGCATATATTTTGTCAGAAATCTGAGATTGAGATGAAATTAAAAAAAACATGTTCACAAGTCATATTTTCTTAAATTGGATCAGAACCTGGTTGCCCAAAATGGACTGTCCAAATTAGGCGACCATTGAAGATTATGTTATTAGTTTTCTATATATCGTTTGGCACTGTTAAACTAAATGAAACCAAAACCATTATTTCAATTTTCTACAATTTTCTACGCAGAAAATATCGGTGTCCAATTTGGGGTACCAACTCTACTCCTTGTTTTCTTTTTTGCAGAATGCCTTCTATTGAAAAGAAAAATAAGTATGGCCAGTGGATTCAGGCTGATATGGCTAAAGTATTAGAAGCCTATAAAGGCAATAATAATTATGACTTAAACGGACTTTGTCGAATGTATAGCATACCGAAGGTAACTTTCAAAAAGCACTTAGAAAATAAAAATAAACCGACTAATGGCAATCGGAAATGTTTTAGGCTAGCTACACTTTTCTTTTAAACAGATTTTTTATCTTGAAAGGTGTGACGCTAAAAAAAACGCAAAGTTGCTTTTAAAATAGCGGATAAAAACATGCAGAAACAACCAGAATCAATTTGTCTCGCCAGATGCAAAGCTTTTAATTTGGAAAATGTAGAAAGTTTCTTCGATCTTCTTGAAAAAATAATAAATAAATAAAAATAAATAAATGGTGATAATAATTTCGACTCAATAAATATATTTAACGTAGACCAATCGAGATTCTGCACAGTGACAAAGCAATGTTAGATCATAGCTTTGCAGTTAAGAACGGTGTGTCAATACGACTGTGGTTGTGCGAGTGCTATAGGACAATTTGTGGAGCCGATGATAATTTTTGAGGGCAAAAGAATGAATCATGACTTAGGCATTGGAGCTCCACCCCGATGTTAAATACAAATATCCGATACAGGACACATTAATGACAAGCTGTTTGTGGAGTGGTTGGGAACATTCATTCATGCTGTGAAACCTACCAAAGAAAACAAAGTTTTGTTAGTTATTGATGGCAACACCACACATTCAAACAATGTTGAGCCGATTGAGCTGGCACGTAATAATACTGTCATCATGTTACAATAGGGCATACAACCCACAGACTACAACCTCTATATTTAGCGGTTTTTAAACCACTGCAGCTTTATTGCAACGTAGCAATTGAGAAATGGCTTAGAACTAATCCTGGTCTTACCGTGTCTCAATATCAAGAAGCATATCCTCGAGCGGCCATAACTATTAATGGCTTCCCAAAAAGCGAAATATCGTTAGTCGATAGAAATGAAAAGTAGACAAGCAGATGAAAATTTGACAATATTCCGTTAATCGAGTTTCTTAAAGACAGGACTTCAAAAGAAAATATGATATTAGAATCAGAACCCCATTCACCCCAAGAAGCAGTTTCAGAAACAGAAACATTAACGTCCAAATGTGGATTCCACTAATCGTCAATAATATTGAAGAAATTCTAGATTCCCACAAATTGATGAGGACAAAATTAAACCGACTCGTACTCGACAGGCTGCTGTTATCACAACTACTCGACCATCGAAAAAAAAAATTAACGCCAGCTAGTGGTATTACAAGTTTTGTTCTGAAGCAGTCGTGAATCATGTGCGAATATGCAATCAAAAAACAAATTTATATGTGAATGTGATATATGCCTAACTAAATACTTTTTACTTTTCGAATTTTTCTTTAATAAAATACGTTTTTAAAATGTCTACCAGATGTATTTTTCTTCGTTATTTGCTTATTTTGGAGAGGTTCAATATAAAAGCACGGTGGTCCACTTTATGATACCGGTTCCCTATATTGTACTTGCACTTGCAAAAGTTTCAAATTTTTAATGTACGCTAAAATTACCCAGTCAAAGAAAAGCATATAAATTACAGTAGCTGTGTAACATATCAAGGTATATCAATATGCAAATAAAATTTTATAATATTGTTGCTTTCAGACCCTAGAATCGTAAAAGTAAAAACCGGTCCAATAGTCCTTAGTCGGCCTAAACCAAATTTATGTATCTCCGTAATTATCAACTTATGGTACTGGCACGAAATAAAGCAAATGAATCTCTTTTCACTTCCATATATGGATACGGTTATATTATAAATAGATCTTTTACCTGCACCTTTTGAAATACCTCACTATCAAAACTTTTTATGCGTAAAGTTTGGGTCGTGTGCAAAAAGCAAACCATTTTATCATGTCTACGTTTTTCTGGTCTACTTTGGAATACCAGAAAGAATTCATAAAACTATTGGGTGAAACAGAAAACTGCTGTCCACGAGGAAAGTATTGAGCTATCCAAACGAAAGTGCGCCTGATGATGTGAGGAATAAGTAGCGTATAGCAGGAAGTAGGTCTAAGCGCTAATCGCACTGCTTTAATTACAGATACAGATTGTCTTAGAAATTACATTACCATTATAACTTCAACCGACACTGCCGCCACGCTCATCGAATTTAAGATGTACTCCAACAATATCGGATATTTTACTGAATCGTTTAAATTTTTGACATATCTGAAACAAGGAGGTACCTGTAGTACAAGCTATTTAAATAATTAGTCAATGGAATTAATTAAATTGTACTTACCTAATGACGCTGCAATGATCTGACACGAGACATTTTAGGTTCATCGGTATATCATCATTGTACACAGCATATTTTCTAAACATGATCTGCAGCTTTTTGAGGACAGACGATGCGAATACTATGCAGGTAAATATTATTATTTTGGTCGAAATTATAATGAAAGTATTCAGGATTATGGTAATTTCGTTAGCTATGAATAACGTGTTTGCATGTTTGTCTTTGTTTATTTTATAATAATACAATTCCACTAGTAGTGGTCTTTCCAAAGTTTGGTTGTTCTTTTTATTCAACTTCGCCACACTCACATTATTCTTGTAATTCTCTAAGAGGAAAAATGAGCCGGTACATAGTGTCAATATCGAGAAGGAGTAGCTGACATGGTTGCTGTATCGGATTTCATTTAAATGAGAGTCGGAAACTTCCTTATCTTCACTTTCGAGCATTGACCGTTCTAGTATTGTCATGTGCGATAATATCTTGTCAAATTTAGCACTTTGAGTGACTAGCATAATATAATGCGCCGTTAAAAGGCTAATTAGGTGGGACAATTGTCTAAAAGTCTCGGTGTTTGAATTCGATGAATTGTTTGCGATTGTTATTATAAATTGAATAAAAATAGAAACCACCACTACTGTGAAATAAAACTTAATGGCCATCGAATAAAATAAATATATGCTTCTAATAACATAGTTTTGCTTTGAGTCCTCAAACTTCCAAAATCCTACGCAACTTAATAAGTATTTTGAAATTCGTAAAATGTTCCCCTTAGGCTTTGGCATTATTGTTGTAGTGATCCCTAGAACAAATCGTTATCATTTTAATTTCTTTTCACATTTTTCGAGCTATATATCTACATCAAAAAATTAGAAAGATGTATAATTTCAAAAGACAATGATGAAGTACAAAGATTTTCGGTCAAATGGACGTAGAATAGAAGACCATTTTAGTAAAACTAGTAAGTTAATAAACCTTGTTCATTGGAAGAGTTGGATATCGAAAATTATTATCACTATAAATCTTGACTAAGTACAAAAAGCGATAATAACACAATCATTGTATTGCTCAGAAAAAATATATTTTTTCTCTTTTCTGTAATTGGACAAAAAGCAGGTGCTTACTGTTAATTGGCCACATATTTTTTTAATTTGAAAGCAAGAGTAAATGTCAAAGTATTATCGGTACTCCTGAATTATTACAGTCTGATGCAAGTAATTAAATTACAAGATCAGATTACAGCAATTATATTTAATAGTTTTAATTTATTTTCCGTAACAAAATTGATCAAAATACTGTCATATTGTACTGTTAAATTTGATATAAAAAAAGTCAAGTGTTTCCAGCGCATGGTGTGATGATGCAATGCAATTTTCTTGGAAATGGATTATTTTGTTGTGTTATTACAAGAGAGAGTTTTAAACTCTATAATTTTTAATTGTGAGATTTTAAAATAATAAGAAAAAGTTTTGCGACATTTTCTTAAGGTAAAGCCTTTTGGCATTAAATGTTTTACGCTGAATTTGGTCTAAAAATACAAAAGAACGTTGGTAACTGTACTTAATTCAAAATTGATCTCAAAACTCAAAACTAGAAAAAACTGTTTGGGGAAAATAAAAACAAAATCAAACAATAATTTATCAACCGCTTGCAAAAAAAAACGAAAAAACACGTTATTCGCCTAGATCGAAAAACAAAATTACAACATTTAACAGTTTCTCAGCCTCCAACCTTATTGATTTTTTTTTTAAATAAACTTTTTTAAAACTATATAAGTTGCCTATATGATCCCCAAAATTGTTTCTCTTATTTCCCTTTTTTCCATTTTGTTAAATCCAACAAAAATTTAAATTTCACATTTAAATACATTTATATATTTTTTTGTTACTCGTACCTACTTTTAGTTCAATTAATAAAATGGTTGCCAGTTTATTAAAGCTTTTTACAAGTGGGTACCTAAAACTAATAACATTTCACACAAATTCGATAATTAATTACCTTAATATATTCTCTCGCTCTCCTGTTAAAACGATCGTCTGCTTTGTTCTGAGCTTTCAAGTTAAATAAAAACTTTCCCATCAGAATTCGAAGTTAAATATTGATGGGCGTAGTTGCGAGTTTTCTTTGAAAACAACGTGTGTTTTATTATAAACGCCGCCTTATAATTATGGAAATAACAGACCGTAATAGTAGTTTAAAGCAGGATTTATAAAGACAGATGTTGAAATAAAACCGGCGGCGCACGCATTGTGATTACGATGTGAAAATTAATTTTTAGTGTAACGTACAATTGGGTTGTTGGCAGCTAGTCTTGGTCTTCCTATATAGGGTTCCAACTAGTAGTATCAGGTAAATGAGTTCCGTTGGTAACAATTTTCGACCAAAAATATTTATAAGCAAGCATAATGTCCATAATAATTGAGTGGTGGATAATGAAACCCATGTGGAACTGAAACCAATGTTCGTTTAATCTGTAGATTTTTTTTCTACATTCTACATCTTCATAATAATGTAACTTATATTAATAGCCATTTATATGAAGTGTGTATGTGTTATTTATTAGTCAGTGCTGACAAGAAAAACGCAAGTGGTGACATTTACACAGAAAAGATTACCGCAAAAATGCCAATGGCTTGCCATTTTTTCCTCATAAATATACGCTACAAACGAACACCGGTGCTACTGGTGGCAAACCTGAAAATGTCTTTTCACATAGAAGACACCAGAATGCAGAATGCAGTTACCAAATTTCTCGAAGCATCGTTTCATAATATAAAACAAAGATTTTTTTTCAGAAATCTTCAACGTTTAGGAATTGCGTTAATATAAAGATTTTTATTTAATGGCTGAAGAATTATCTTTATGACACCATTAAAGAACATCCTGTAAAATCTGGCCGTGCATTATCCTATTTACAATTTATTTTGTCTTTCATTCCTTTGAATGTTTCGGATTTTTATTAGAATTAGCATTTTTAGTTTGAATTTTAGATTTATTGAGTTAGGCATTGAAATAACTACGTTAATAAAAGGACCAAAAATAATCTTTGATTTACACACACACACACACACATACTTCTTCTAGTGATTACTTCAATAAATAATTCAATAAATATTCGTACGGCTATTACTGCAGCTGTGCTTTTCGATGCATAGCTCACTACTGTTGATTTGTTATTATCAATATTCAGTTTGATTAAATATTATTTATAATACAACGTTCGTCGTTTAATGTTAATATGTTATTTTCACGAATAAGAGTATTACGTGAAAACTACTTCAAAAAATGATTTAATTTTTTACTGTTTAGAAAGTATAAAATTAAATGAAAAATGAAATGCACGTCTCCGAAATGTTATATTCACTAAAACGTAATTTTCGTAAAATTCTCTAACCAAAAATGTGATTAGGAAATCAAAAACTTACTTCCCGTATAATCGTGAAATACATAAAAAATAACTATATTGAGTATTGTGAGATACCAGGCGAACAACGGTTAGATTCAAATTAAGACTCCAAAAACTACTATTTTGTTTTAATTTATCCAATTCTCGTTCGGGGAGCACTTTGTAAGTACTTCCAACAAATAAAACCCTTTTAACGCTATAGGATTCTTTTTACAGTAAACTGTGTTGTTCTCACTAAAACGTTGTTTGAAATATTCGAATAATTTCGAATCACAGATTATTGAATTCAATTTGTTTTGTTTTAATTGAAGAAAACAATTTTTTGGAGTTCAACAAATCGCACAAAATTATCCAAATATATTTTAATTTTGTAATAAATATACAAACATTCTAAACCAAGCAAAATAATTTTTTGTGCATGTCATGGGGTGTAAAACTCATGTGTATTAGATTTTGCATAATTTGTGAAATATACAGACACACAGTGCTTCGAAGAACGTTTAATGAACCATAACCCGAGGCAGAAGTTTGTTGTTTCGTAGGATTTAATCCTATACAAACTTGTATCATCTATATGAGCAACGTTCAGAGACACAATCATATTTTGACTTGCTTAATTTTAATAAGCAACGCGACAAATTTTATTTCAAGTTGCTTTTGCACAAAAATTATTTCATTTATTTATCTTTAATTCATTGTGTTTTTGTCACAGTTTAGGAGATTATTCGCCTAAGTAAGTATATTACGAGCAAGTACTCAGTGTGGGCAACTTCTATCCCTTATTAGTAGAGTCAACTTATTTTCATCCCAAATGTAAGCACCAATGGTTCCTTTTATCGCCAAAGTTGACAACTTAGAGTTTAGAGCCACAATATTCGCAGAGTGGTCTGCGACTCGACAAGGGTCTCTCTGTTTACTTATGGAAATAACCTAAATTGGTTTTATGAAAATGCGGGTATGTTTTATATTTTGTGTGCGCTGAATTATTTATAAGATTTTATAATCTATAAAACTTGTTCTTGATGCACAAAGCTTCTTCAATGGGTTTGGGAACTTCCAGACGAATTTAGATTTTTAACTTTCTCTTGTCTTTAAAAAAACGTTAGCAGAATTTTTATAAGATAAAAGCGTCTACAAATTTATGTAATAATTTTTTCTTCTTTACCAAATATAATAAGTCGGCGCAAGTATTCAGGAAAAAAAATAATTGAATTGACATTTCAGTGAAAAAAATAAATAAATAAAGATTTTAACAAATAACAAATCGTTAATTTGTGTCAGCAGACTTTTTAGCAGACCTACGATATAAATTTTAGTTGCCACTAATTGAAGGGATAGCAATGAGATAATAGAGGGACACCGTAAGTATTGTTAAGTTGATGTACTTCAAGTGGCTATGAAGTTTTCGTAGGGAAGGGAATGATGGTATGAGCCTAAATTTTACAAACTAACCTGCATTTTGTACCATTTTCCGTTTAAACATTTGAACTGACGAACATTTATAGAAGTTCCTATATGTATTATCAACAAGACCTCCACATATCTAGCAGCTAATAGTCTGTAAAACGAGGAGGTGCACATGTACGAAGCACAAACCAAGAAAAGAAGAAGAAAAAAAAGTGGATTTTTAAGGAGCCTTGGTAGGAACTATGAAGTGCGAATTTAGTTAAGATGAAAAGCATTTCCTGATTAATGTTACATACCCAGCTGCCTTGTGCTGGAATATTTTCCTCCCATCATCAATAACTAATTATAAGATTTCAACTTGCGATGTACTTCTATTAGTATTATTGAGTAACATCGAAAAGAGTCAGAAAATATTTATGTTATTGATAATTTTGTATCATCAGAGTTACATATGAATACGATGCCTTATATATCTGAAAATAAAAAATATAGTTAAAATATGTTCAGTTGGTACTTATTATGTATTAAACTAACTTAAAATGCGGAAATGTGGCTCAAAAAAAAAAAAACGCGAAGGACTTTGCAAGTATTACTAAAAATTGGTTAGTTCTGAGCAATATTGTGCAAAACAAAGATGTCCCATTACCCCAACAGCAGATGCTATGGTCATAGGGTTGAATGGTCCAATGGTTAATACCAGTGGTTTTTTACTTCGAATTATTATGGCAACATTTTTAGAGTCTCATCATTTTGATCATACCATGGACTTTCATATACGGCATCCGTAAGTATTATGCTCTGAATTTTGTTTTCAGTAACGACAGACAATGAGGGAATAAAACTAAGATTGCTTGTATTATTACGTCATTGACAATAGGTCCCATGGTGAATACTTGAGCTCCCAGCAAAGAAAGGTAAAACACAGTTCTAAATATGGTAGCATTGTATCGGTCCTGGAAATAAGCAAAACTTTATTAAATATTGCTTCATAACACAGTCTCAACAATATTGGTTCATATAGTACGAAAGGGGAATGTTTGTTAAGTGTATAAAAGTACATTTTCACCGTCACGTTACCATTGTTCTAGCAGCAAATTTGAAAAATTGCACTTGAAAGTGGGGTATCCAATAATTTCCTTTTGTAGCAACTTTTATGGGAGACCGAAACATTTATACAATGGATAACAATAAATAGCTACATCATATTGTATTTTTCCTTTATGTTTCCGATTGGGGCAGTCCCAGACTGATTTTTTGTGTGATCGATTCACGAGTAGCACCATTACTGTCCGTTGATAAGAGGAAAAATTCATGAAACGCGTTTTCAAGTATATATTTTCCGGGTATAAAGAGTAAACATTATCAAGAAGTAAATACGTGAATAATATAACATCGAAAGACACTGCCGCCACATTTATCGAAATTAATATGTATTCCAAGATCGGATGCTTTACAGAATCGTTTAGGTTTTTCACATATCTAAAATAAGAAGTCAAAAGGCATGCCTTGAAGCCTGGAAGGCAGTTTAATTAAATTTTACTAACCTGATAATGCTGCAGTGAACTGACACGAGTCTTTCAAATTTTCAACTTTTCTTTACATAATTTGCAGTTACTTTAGGACAGAAGATGCGAAAAATTATGCATGTAAATATTAACATTTTTCCATGTTTGTCTTTATTTATTCCATAATAATACATAGCAAAAAGCAATGTCCTATCTAAACTTTGGTTGTTGGCCTTATAGAGCTTCACCAAGTCACAACTAATGTGAAATAGATCTTTATCGCTGCGGAATAAAATAAATCCGCGATCCTGAGCAAATTAGTAAATACTTAAAGTAATTAATGATTTTAATTGCTCTTTTAGTCGACCATTTTAAAATAAATAAGAACTAAAAGTTCAGATTTTCACGAAATTATATATTATGACATGACAATTGTTTCGACAACACCGTGTTTTTATCAAATGTATTTTTTATTTTATTTTATATATATTATTTATTTTATTATTTATTTTTTATTTTATTTTTTTATTATTTATATATATTATTTATTTTAATATGCATTTTAAATGTATATTCAGTAGGCATAAGTTGAATACTCAAAAAGGTTATAAAACATATTTATAAAAAACAAAGAAAAATACGAGTGTGGCATGTAGACCTTTCTTACAGTCAGTTAAGGAAAAATGTATTCAAAAATGTATGCAAATTCTACGTGGTTCTCTGTCCAATGAAGAGCTTATTCTTTCCTAGTTAAGATTTTTGCGGACTTAGTTTTCCGCTTGATTTTTTT